AGAAATGACCGAACAAGAACTAGAAGACCTAATGAAAGATAAAGAAAAAGTCACCTCGAAACAAATCCGAAGAGCAACAAAACTAAAACAAAAAGTACAGAAAAAGATAGCACCGCTAAAACTAATGGAAAAACGAGTGCTCAACCTAGAACATATTTTAAAAGGATACAAATATCTATCTATATTTGAAAAGAAGGACCGACCAGAAGCCGCTACAATAATGGAACGATACCCCAGAGTAACCGACCTAAAGAAGTTACCAGATAAAATACTAAATAAAGTCAAACAACAATTGTATTATTATACATTATCCTACAATAGAAACGGCGTAGCATATAGAATTAAAATACGACAAACACAAAACTATCAAGTTACACTTGTAACCATGAACTATTTGATGAACGAATATGAAAATCTGACCTTAATCTAGAAATTACCAGCAACACAAAATCCAGCCACCTAATTGTTAACCTTAGCCAATAAATCTAATTAACATGTCTAGAAATCAAATTTCCAAAGATTCCCCATTATATTTAGATTCTACAGCGCTGCCTCTAGTAGTACTGTACATTAGAGCTAGTAGCTGGTTTGTCGAAATAATATCAAATTTCCACTAACAAAAAAAAGAAAAAAAAATCTCTGGAAATTTTTATATTACTTTGTAACAATAACTACCAGATCTAGTGTATTACTAGAAGTGATGCTGGAGAATCGAAATATAATGGGGAATCTTGAGAATTTTTTGTTTTTGACATTTTAATTAGATTTATTTATAAGAAAGTGCCAAAATTTGCCAAAATTATTTTGATTTTTTTTTTTTTTTTTTATAGCAGAAAGAATTCTGGAAGTGAATAAACAAAATACTTTCGCTTAATAAAAATATTTTGATTTTTTTTTATTGAAGAAAAACGATGTTTTGATTTGATCTAGTTTATCCAATTAAAGACGGGATTTCATGAGAAACTAACGAAATCGCTGATACCCCCAATCAAACATAAAATTTTTATATTATAACGATAGTTGCATAAAAGAAAAGCCGTGCTCATCCGTGAATTTTATTAATTTTATTATCTAACAAGGTTTAAGAATATATTAAGAGAGATTGATGTCTACAATTGCACGAAGTGTTTCAATTTAAATGGCTGTACTTTTTTGTTTGTCTAAAAGATTTTAAAAAAATTTGACCAGTAACTTTATAGAGCTATATTAGCTCTACATATGTGCCAAATATCTTTTCAAAATTTCGTCTCTGTAAAGAGTTGATGCATTTTGAAGAGTGAAATTTTGGATATAGTGATGATATTTCAAAAAATATTTGGCACATAACTGTTGAGTGTAGACTACCAATATCATATTTATATAATAAAATTGGCAAGTATGTAAAGACAAATATCTAGAAGTTTGAATAATTTACTGTATTTTTACTAGCTTACAGTATTACCCTGTGGCTTTACTACAGGAGCTATTTTATATGTGAGTGATGCCAAATAATATTTATGTATTTAATTTCTGATAGTTCTATTTAAAGTAGTAACTTTGAATAGGTGGCTATTTCAGATGTAATCATGTAATTAAAATTCTATAATCTGATGATAAATATTTGATTTTTATTGTTTTTTATTAAAAAATTTAAATGTTTAAACCATGATGTTTTAAAACACTTACCATTTCTAGTCCAGCTTCATATAATTTTGATTACTTATAAATTCACTTTCGCAATTTACATTTGCACAAAAGTTTTTAGTATTTTTTTTAAAAAAAAGTCAACCCTTTTAAGATATACGAATTTGTAATCCTAAACAAATTAATGCACAAATTTCGATTAAATTATGAAAATTAGAATTGAATTAAACAGTAATTAAATAAGAACTTGGACTTTAAAATGATCCAATGGCAGTTATTTGTTATTTGAGTCATTTAGGCCGCTGTACTCCAATCCTAACCTATCACTAACTCTAATCTCTAAAATCAACTCGATCATATTTACAAGAAATCTCACTGGCAACCTGCGAAATCCCATGTATATTATAATAGAATGTGGACTTTTTTGATTTTTATTTATTTATTGTTTTTTTTTTGATTTAAATTAGAAAATAATATAATACCTTAAAGTCTTTTTTTTTAAATAATTAATTTTCAGGAACAGGTCCTAATAAAAATGAAACACCAGTACAAAAAGCCAATGCTATAACAGAAGCCCATAAACAAGCATCAAATTCAAAATAAGTATATAATAATCCACCAATTAACAAACCAGCTAATCTTCCCATAGCATTTGCCATATAATAAAATCCTACATTCATAGCAACCTTATCTTTGTGACAATATGCTAATATAAGAAATGAATGAATTGAAGAATTTACAGCGAAAATAAATGCAAATATAAACAAACCAATTGATAAAAATATTATAATAAATAAATAGCTTGTATAAGAATTAAAAATCTTAAAAATTATTGCTAAAATTAAAGTCATTAAAAATAGTAATAATGTAGAAGGTATTAATATGCGACCATGTTTTACAGGATATATCTTAAGTGGCTTAAGAATTAATAAAGGTGTACTAGATTGTATTACTCCATAAAATATTACCCAACCTGCAATAAACGCACCAACAGGAAGATATTGCCTAAAAAATTGTTTAAAAAAAATTTTAAAAAAAAACTATTTAACTTATGCATATACAAATATAACTTTTACCATCCAATTGGTCCTCTTAAATAAAAAGGTAATGGTACCTGAAATTACAATGTAATTAAAAATAGTTAAATACTGCGCTCATGCAAAATACCCCGCGTGTACTTACTTCAAACCATAGATCACGTGAGCTGAACAAAAACATTCTAGCAATTGACAGAATATTCACATCTCTTCCCTAAAATTAATAAATAAACTTTTATTATTATGTATGATAGTTATTATTATCATTATAGAAATTAAAGAAAATACCTTATTAAAAATCTTTCCAAAAGTTAATTTTTCTTTCGATTTACTAACGGCTAAATCACTCTCAACATAAGCAAAAGCAAAAGGGATAACCACCAGGTTCATAACCAACAAGATTGCTAAAGAAGGAATAAACCCGACAAAATAAAACAAAAAAGCACCCAAAAAGAATCCAGCACCTTTTACAGAATTTTTTGCGCCCGTAAGCCAAGCAACCAGCTTGAATAATTGAGATTGATGATCATCATTGCTCTTAGTCACTAGTTTTGTTATAGATTTACCACCTAATTTGACTAAATCTTTTGCCATCCCACTGAATCCTTGTGCAATAATGACATATATATAAAATGTAATGCCTTGAGTGATCCAAGGCAGACCACATAACATTCCTATGCCGATAACTTGAGTAACAAGACCTGAAATAAAACAGGTACGAAGTCCTAGACGCGAACCTAAAATACCACCGACCAAGTTGGTAACGACGCCTAGGAATTCATATGATGTAAGCATGATAGCTGTTTGTAATGCCTAGTAATAATTTATATTTTTTTATTCAAATATAAGAAATCGGTAATTAATGAATATTAGTAATTAAGGAGTACATACACCATAATGTTCATTATATAGCTCAAACAGGACGATCATTCGAAGTCCTGAATCCGTAAGTGTGAAAAGTAAGTATCCACTCGAGATCACATAAAAATTTCTCATTGATCTCACTTCATCACTATTCGTATTTTGCGTATTTTCAGGAATATTATTTTGTGAATTTAAAGATTCTGAAACATTTAATCGAATTTCAGCCTTTTCATTATGTTGTGAAGAAAGTTTCGATATTTCATTATCATTTCTTTTCGTATCTAATTCTTGAATTATACTAGACTGTACTTTTGATTCATCCATTTTGTAGAGGAGATTTTACAATTTAAAACCTTAGATCTATTTATACGTTAGATACATCTCTCGTACTGTACAATACATGGATATGTATCACCAAAACACTACCAAAACAATAAGAAATTTATTTAACCAATTATAGCGTTTTTTTGAATTAAAAATTCGAATTAAAAATTCTAGATATAGAATTAAAAATAAAATAATCGACAATGATGTGATGTAATGTAACAATTTCCTCTTATCGTAGTATTGGATTACCAAGATATATTTCGTGATAAATCTTAAAGAAAGTTGTATCTATTTAAATGAAATCTTGTTTTAAATAAATAATTGGGCTTAAAAAGGTTTTAAAGAAAATAATTTATGCAGTGAACTCTGATTATTAGTGTGGAAATTGTACGACTAAGCCACACCGTACGGATACAACCGTCAATTTATAACTAAGAAGCAGCTATTCTTTAGATTGTCTAGCAAAATTTATTTGCTAACTTAATGGTTTATTTTATTTTATTTTAGAACATGCAATTTATTTGTTCATATCGCCTACTAATTTATGAACGGCCATCCAGATTAAAAATTTTCAAAATATTTTAAAGGCTTTTGAATTATTACAAGGCTCAGATACAGTACGTAAAAGTAATAAATTATTAATACTTTCGAATTATTAATTGTTAACATGAAATTGTTAACTTAATAAATCATTAACAATTAATTGAATTATATCCAATATGCATAGCGATAAGAAAGTATTGATAGTTTGTAATCAGCGATCCTGGTCATGCTACGTTACACTAAAGCATAATTGAGCCATATTTTCCATTTTTTATGTACTCTAATATAAAAAGAAGTCTTGTAATAATGTCAGTAGAATCTTCCACCACAGCTTTTAATTGAGGTGATCAATGATTTTATAGAAAATCGACTAATTTTAAAAAAGCTATTGATTTGAACATTTTCTACGAAAACGTTCTGTGCATATTGGATAACTTATTATTAAATTTTAATCGTTAATAACAATTCATAATTAATAATATATAATTTGAAATTCCCATCACTAAGTACATGCATATCAATATCATCCGTAAATGCGGGTTATGTGGGTAAAATGATGAATTGAACATATTACAAGAAAACGGAATTTTTTGCTTAGTAAAATTATAAAATTGTTATCATATTTTACTTGCCTTCAAATTTTGGTGAATACAAATAACCTTTTTCATTATACGTACATTTTAACGCAGAAAATTGATTTACTGCGCCAAAATGTAGAACGAAAAAACTTATTAATAAAAGGGTACCAAAATTTGAAGGTAAGCAAAAGATAATATGTTGAATAACTTTATTTAATAAGTAAAGTTACGTTTTTTGTATAAAAAAATTCTTGACTAAGAAAAATCGTTAAAGATGATCGAAACGTATTATCTATTATTACCCTCATAAAATAAAGAAGTGTAGTCTTCTAAGTAACATCAGTAATTTAAATAAAGTACAGATTTTTATATATATATAAGTAAAGAGGGTTTAGAACTGCATTAAATTAAATAAAAAGTTAAGGATGTAAAGATTTTTCAGAAACTTTTATTAATGAAAACTGTTGACTTCGTCACAATACCTTATATGATCGATGTCTGGTTTCCCTTGGGCATTACCCATTTATTTTCTATTATTTATCACGTAGGGTGCAATTGATTTATCGTGAGAGATGTAAGACTGGGATGTTAGAATTAGATAGATGCTGGGAAAAACTATAGAAGAGATAATTAAAAATGGTAATACCTTCTTTCAACTTCTTTTAATGTACAGTATTAGTGTAAAAGCTAGCGCATATATGAAATACGATAACTGTAGTGGATTTAATAGGAAGCAGTTGTAATAGCGTGCTGTGGATAAAACCGAACACTAATGTAGTCCGAGGTCCACTAATTCCCGACACATTTCGACCCGTTGATTAAGGCGTTCTTTTTCAAATATCTAGCTAGGCTGTCAATTATAAACGTGTTCTCTTTAATAAAATAAACTTTCAGCTGCATGCTAGACCCAAGGTTTACTATAGGTTTTAAATTTGGTGGAACCAGACACGGATCTAATTTACGGTACATATCGATTATGGATGGGCAACGAAACCACAATATTTCGTCATCCATCACATTAATTTCGGATCATAGCGAAACAGATAATAAGAGCAGCAGTACCACGAAGGGACATGCCCCTTATTGTTTTTTTTTCACTCCGGCACACTTTTCCTGTGCAACTTTTATAACCTATCATAGTAAAATACGATCTTGTGTTTGTTAAATATGGCGCAGTAAAATTCACCTATTCCGTTTTTACATACCAATTAGAAGGTTAGAAGCTTATGTAACATGTGATTTTGATTTTTTTTTAATTTTCACGAAAAGAGCAGTACTGCAAAAATAATATGATTATAAGAATTTCACATATATCTTTCTAATTCAATTATTAAAAGTTGTCTCGAGAAGAATTTTACTTTAAGAGAAAACTTAGTTATTCCAAAAGGTACTTCTGCCTCGACTTTGGGATTGATAATATAAAAATTCGATATACACGTGTGTGAAGCGTACATAAGAGTTTTTGTTTTATTGCTGTTTTCAAAATGATTGATATTAACAAAATTTTTTAAGAATACTGTAAATGTACTTTCATATTATGTTCTTTTAAAATTTTAAAAGATCCAATATTATTTATGATAAGTTCAGATATGCCGCATTAAATTCAGAAAGGATAAACCATATTTCTATTATTTCATTTTATGTTTCATGGATCTAAAACAAATTTGGGTTATTTGATGGAAGATTTTGCATTTCAGCATTTGCGAGTGGGATAATTAAGTGAAAAAATCTTTTATTAATACTAACAGTATATTATGGAAGTGATTAATAAACTGGCTCACTTAAACTTCTAGATTTTAGTGGAAAGATTTTGTAGGTTACTATTTCTGAAGAGAGCAATGCATGATGCGCTTTGTCAAAGATTAAACGAGAGTGATCCAATGTTAAAAAATGATCAATTTGCTAGGTAATGGTTATTACTTCGAAAAGAAAGCTATATACGTGGAAAGTTAAAGAACGAATATTAGTTTAGAAAGAGAATATCATTTAAAGTTGAGGAAAATCAATGAAATAATTGATGGTTAAAAAATATGAAGTAAACGTTTCTGCAGTCGTTTACATATAGTGTTAGCCCATATGTGGCATCTGGGTATGATTTAATTGTTCATTTATTTCAATATCTTATTTATTGTTAGGAGAAAGTTAGTATTTAAAGAATCTACAGATTTAAATAACAACGGATTAAACAGTTCGATTAGCTGGTTATTTTAAAAATGCGAGAAACAAATACTTGATTGCGAAACTACGCGATCGACGGAATATTGCTTACTGTATTAATAAGAGCGTTTTTTATTTTACTGTATATCGCAGCAATGAATTTCGTCTATTTGATGTTGTCAAGTTTATGATCTTTTAGGCTTATTGTTGAAATTTGACTCAAAAAGCTTAACTTTTTTTGGGAAATTTCATGCCTAGAAGTCATTATACAAACCAGCACAGTGAAGATTTGGTTCAATTTAGATAGACAAAAAATGGAATAATTAAAAGCAATCTCCTTTAATTTTTAGCTTTTTTTTTACATCCTAAGCATAGAATGACTCATTTTAGGAATTAGGTTTATTATATATATACAAGAGAACCTATTCGTATTTACGCGAATTTACTGATTTGCCGTTCTCCAATACAATTATGCCAATTATGCAATCGAATATGCTTTAAGCGCAGCTTTGCGCTTGCACATTTCTCACTTCTCAAGATCTTGAAAAATTTGATTGGACATATTTCATAAATTTTCACATGATCTACTTGAATTTTGTGGCGGTAAATCGTACGTAATAGGATTTTTTCGATGTTCAAATGTTCAAGCAAGACATAAAAACAATAACTCAAGGTAATCTAATATTTCTCATACTACCTATGATAATTTGCTAAGAGGTATTTTTAATTATGTAATTAATAATTTACTTGTTAAAACTTATAATTATTATAAAAAAAGACGCTGGTACATTTTATGATACGATATTTAACCACCCAAAAGAAACCATCGAAAAAGAGATCAAATCATTTATTCGAGAATTTGAAGTATGCACACGATCATCATCCTACGATTATTGAGTATTTTATCGCCTAATAATATTAAATATTTTCAGTCAAATAGAAATAACCGAGAATATGGTAATCTTGAGAAATGCATAGTGTTAGCTCAAGGTGCACCTGATAAACTTTCGAGTGGAACTTTTCTCTTTGATAAAAAGTTGAATGACGTTAAGGAGAAATGTGAGTTCTTTTAATAAAATATATATCATACGCTGGAGGGTGAATAGTGTCAAATTTAAAACTGAGATTTATATCCGTTTTTTTTTTTTAAGTGAATAATGCAAAGCCAATTTTTACGTCATTATTGGAAGAATTGGAGACATTGAAACAGGTGTGACACTATGAAAAGTTTGTAATTGAGGTTAAACATCAATTATTTATCCCTATTTATTTAGCGACTAAACGAGTTTTTCCTCTATGATCATGTGTAGTCACGTCGTCTCCAGCAAGACCCACACCAGGAGGATCGCAAACAACTCCTAGATAATCAAAATCATGCAAAAAAAGAGTTTGACAAAGAATTTAAAGAACGTGAGCAAAAATTGATAAAGGAATATAGGATTATAATGGAAGAGGCTTTGAGAGGTGTTTACGATCCTTCTGAGAGTAGTAATAAAAATAATGATCGAACTCCTGAGGGGAGTAGTAAACATAATGATTGAACTCTTGGCGATAGTAATAAACATAATGATTGAATACTTTGGAGTAGTAATAAACACAAAGATTGAATACTTTGGAAGAGTAATAAACACAATGATTGAATAATGATTGAATACTTTGAATATAATGATTGAATACTTTGAAGTAGTAATAAACATAATAATTGTTATTTACTAACATATTCTGAGAAATTTAAATATTAAGAACTTAAATTATGTTATTAATCTCTATTTATCATATAAATCAATAAAAATGCGTATAACAATAATACCAGTGTATGAAATTCAATTTCATGTTCCCAAAGAACGTTTCAAATCCTTTAGTGGTTTTCAAAAATTTTTTAATGTTCTCAATATAGAAAAAATTTGTTTAATATTAACGCTCTCAAATAAAGATCATATTTTAAATAATTTATGTCCTTAAAATTTAGAACATTGAATTTCGCACACGGGTATAGCAGTAATACTTTAAAAAGCATTAATCTACATATTACTTCATTCTGACTAAAATAAACAAACCAATTTTATGAACCACTCTGGTTGCTTAAACAAATAATCTATTACATATATGAAAAAAAATATAAATATTGTAATAAATTTTATATGCTTCTCATTCTCAGTCTATGGTGTAGCAAAAAATGGGTTAAAACTTAATCAACAAATAGATTTAATTCTTTTTAGAATTATTTAAATACCTATATGTCATTACTAGATCTCCATTTTGCTTCCATATATGTGATTTTATAGCAGCCAATGTCATTGTAGGAGGCAATGTCTAAAAAAAAAAAAACGGTATTTAGATAATCTCTTTAAAATAAAGTATCAATGAGATTTCGTAAACAAACCTGATCTAAACAAACTAATTCCAACCACATCTCAGGTTTTATAGAACTCTTCGTTTTTTCTTCATCCTTCTCTATTAAAGTTTTTTCTGCTATAACTTCATCTTTTTCCCCTTCAGGTTGATCAAGCTCGAGTTTTTCTACTATGTATGAAAGAATTTTTCGAGCTCTTAACATTCTATTAGCAGTTAACCGAGAATTCCTTATAAAGTTTGAAAGAAAATAGGTTCTTTGTTAAAATTTTAAAAAAAAACATATAATAGGAAAACGTGTAAATCATTGCATTACCCGTTTGGTAAATCTTCAAGTTGGGAGCCTTCGTGAGGTTTTAATATAAACCCTATTTTGACTGAATCCTTTAGCGCAATTTTATTCTTTCATTTATAATTATTTAAATTATACAATTAATAACAATAAAATCATTGGTTGTTGTACAGAGAATAATAAATATATAACATATACTTTAAGTAAAAATTCCAATAACCAAGGATGTGCTTTGTGCTCAATTAATTCAACATCCTTGTCCATAGTTTCAACTGTCCCACGGTACGAATCAACAAAAGTTGATGCTTCCGGAGAAACTTCTGAGATTATAACAGTTGTATGGAGTGGTATTTGAATTTCGGGTGTTTCACTTATCGGTAACTGCACGAAAGGAGGCTGAACATAAGGACGTATGTTACGTATTGAATGGATTTGGTCATGATGTATAGGGTGATAACCAGTATGTTGCACTTGAACTTTCGATTTGGCAGGAGAATTAGCCTTTGTATAAACAGTAATTAAATTTAATTGGCTGGTTATTCTTTTAATAGACTTTCGGGAGACATAATTTACCTTTGATTCTTCATCTTTTCGAATTTGTGCACTAGGCTCATCCTGTGATTGTGTGGAAGCAGCTGGTTTTGAGTCAGTTTTTGCATCAGAGTTATTTTCTGACGACACATTCGTTCCACTTGATTCAGGTTTTGTTTCTGTGTTAGGTGTCTTTGGTATTTTACTACGTCCAAAAGAGGGTTTAAACCGACCGAATAGAGAACTTGAAGTTCCACTACTGCTTGATGTTTGATTAATAAGAGCTGGAGGTGGTGGCTTTATTACCTCGGAGGTTGGTAATTGTCCACCTAATGGTTCGGAGCCTGTCGAACCTGGTGGTGTCAAATTACCAGAGGGTCCAGTAGGACTAGTGGGCGAATTATGATGCGAACCAGAAAAATAGTCAGGTTGTTGAGATCCTGTAGTTGCAGGTGCAGTAAGTGGACCTGTAAAAGCGGCCAAAGGTGTAGTCGGAGATTGTGGTAGTGCAGATGTACTCGGTGACGGAGAATTAACACTTTGTGCTGTTGCCACTGTAGGGGGCGCGGTGAGTGCACTATTTACGATTGCTTGAACAGTAGCTGGTGGAAATGAAATAGGTTGTAGCGGAAGTGACCGATCATCCTGAAATTCTCGTCTGAAATCATTAAGTTGATGCCTTAAGAGATTTTGTGCCGGAAACTCTTCATACATCTGTATCAAAGTCCTTGTAAAATTTGCAAACAGATTTCTTAATACCCATTTGCCGAGATTGACTAGTGATTTTGATGTAATTGTTATTAACATAAAGGCGTTTAAATTAAATTGTTCATTTCACAAAACATACTTCTTTGATCATCGCGAATATCTGCATCCTCCAATAAATCAAGTTCATCCGCGTATGCTTCTGCATCAAAACAATTTTTTTCATCAAGATGAACCGTTAAAGCCTTTGAGCATAAGGAAAATTAAAATATGTATCAAATTTCTTAAAGAGTTTATCAATTATTATAAGAGTTAAGAAAATAATTTCTCACCCCGATGCGTGTATCCACTTCACACCAAGTTGGTATATATTCGATAGTATTAACTGCCTGAACAACTTCATTGAAGTCACGCTTGCCGAATGTTTTAACTCGAATACACTATAATATTATTATATATCATCAATTTCTTAGTGTAATAGTGGTTTGAAATATAAAAAGCCGGATTATTTTTTGATTGCTTTTATATTTAAAATATTTTAATATTATATAATATATATACCAAAATAATGTCCCACAATGCAACTTCTCCAGAATTATCAAGCGTAATAATATGCCGTCGATTATTTAATATAGAACATTTTACTAGACCATGCTGGCCTGTTTATATCATTTAAGAAGCATTAAAATCATTATATACCAAGACTGACACTTATTTTAGAAAGTACCTTTAATAACAGAGTCCGGCGAATCTCTTAAAGGAATTGGATCTTCGATATCTAAACTTTCCAATTTCTGATCATCAGTAGTGACCGAATACAATGTTGCAACTTCAGCATCCAAAGTCACACCATATGATACTCCAGCAGACGTGAGATTTATTATTGAAGATGATGGTATTGTAAGTAGTGGCGGAGATAATTGTGGAGATGTTGGTGATATAGAAGGTGAAGAGGATTGGGAAATTGCTTTACGAATACGTCTGGGAGGAGCATCTAGCTATAGAACCAAATATATTCAGAATGCGCGTTTATGCAATGATCTAAAACTATGATAGATAGATGCATACCCATCGTTTTATACTAGAATCAGAAGTTGCCGTCCAAATATATTTGTTATCAAGGGCGATAAGCTGCAATAAGAAAATATTTATTTATTTATTTATTCGTTTTTATTTCTGAAATTAATGATTAGAATTCATATACTTCATAGCTTACCTTGACGACTCCAAACTCTTCTTTGCACACAGCTACGCACTCACCATCTCGAATTTCTGCACAACCGCTATAATCAATTTTTGCAACTAATCCATCTTTACAACCTGAATAAAATGATTCTAGTCTAGGATGATCCGAATAAAGAGACCATACGGAGTCTGAATGAACCGTAAAAGTATTTATGCATCTTTGAGCCTTTAATGACCATAATTTTATGGTAGTGTCGGATGATCCTGATAATACCTAAAAATATTAAAGTTATATGAGCAACGTTGACGAAGAATTTTATATAAAATTGACCACTAACCAATTCACCATCATCGCTAACTAATATAGCTCTAATGTTATCGGTATGGCCCGTGAAACTGGTGATCTGTTTTGTTGTACGTGGATCCCACAAACGGACAACCTATGAAAGAAGTCACTAATTAATTTTATGCAGTTATTAGTAAATCAATACATAGAAAGCTTACCTTTTCCGGTGATCCTGAAGCAAGAACAGTTCCTATTGGATTACAAGCCAGCGCATACACTGACAGCTTTAGCGATGAATCTGCTATTGTCGCTTAATTACAAACCAAATTAGATATAAATGTTAACGATAAAGTAATGATAAATCTAACATTTATATTTATTAATTACTATTTTTACCTATCGGAGGTCGCTCATAGTCAATATTAATCGAAGAAATTCCAAAAGATAAAGGTCTACATTCTTTTATATCCCACATAATTATTTTTCGATCAAAACCGCCACTGGCGACCCAACCGGGACCAGGAGCATATGCTAATGTTTTTACGTAATCAGTGTGACAGCCGATGGTATGAGGAGTGTGACTGTTTGATTTATGAGGATGCCAGAGGTTTATTTTGCAGTCCGAAGAAGCAGAAATTACTGTGGACATGAACATAAATCCATAAACAAAAAAAAAGGGCACTATTAAACCATGACTATGACTATAAACAGTATCAGAATTTTACTGGACAAATTAATTTATTTGGCCATTTTGGTAATCAGCAGGCCGAAAAACTTATGGTGGTGAGTCAACAAAGATCAAGCAAATTTTTTATAATAAAATTTTCTATAGTTATAATAGTAACTTAACCAATTTAATAAAAAAAAATTTTAAACAAATACTACAAACTTGTATAATTAATTTTAAAAAAATTTTTTATTAAGCTTGGTTAAATTTTTCTCAAGTTATCTTTGCTTAAAGGGTTTTAAAATATTTGCTTGGTTTCTATCGACTCAACCCTTTATAAAGTTGACCAAATCACATTTTGGCCGGCCAAAATTTTTGAGGTGGGAGAAATTCCCAACACTGATTATATAGTATAAACAAATTTCATACATGATTCATTGTTATGGCAAAGTATTATGTCGTTAACCCAATCAGTATGGCTTTGGAAAGATTGACGAAACGTTGATGGTGGTTGCTGTTCAAAAATTAGATAATGTTACAAGTCAATTTTAGAATTTTTCTATCAAATTAATTTGATAGATATTTACCGAAGAAAAATCAATTTCATCGTCGATCTCCCAATTTTTTCTGGGATGGATAAATTCTTGCCTACCACCCACATCATTAATTTCATTGAGGCTTTCGGTGCTTTTATGAATTGATCCGTTGATATTCACATTTTTCTTATTTCGAAATGGTAAGTGCAAGTCCCAGGACGCTATTACACCATCTCGCCCAGCAGAGTAAAGGATTCCCTCTGGTTTTCCTGTCTCTGGATTGGGTGTCGTTATGTCTAAAGCCAAAGAATTAATTCCTAAAAGATGACCATGGTCATCCTTATTGTGAGTAATAACATATGATACTCGACGTCGAGAAGCACGTCTCATTGAATAGTTTAAATTAAATACAGATATGTAGTATTATAAATGATTGTAATATAATAAGAACAGATTGATCGCGTTTTAAATTATATAAATATAGCATTAAAAAAAATATAAATCTGAAGACGAGGTATTGGTATGTTGTGTGTACTTTCTGCATTTATATCGATATTTAAATATTTCTGTGTAATGTGTGTAACATGTGTTACCTGTGTTACATGTGTAACAGATGTAACGTTAACATGCAGATGAATAACAAATTTATTTTTTTAGATAATTAAAGTTAATCAATAATTATCATGCACTTTAAATATGCTAGATTTGCTCGTAAAGTTGTTTTCACTTCCGTAGGTCATCAATTTCAACGTATCATATCACAAAAAAAGGATTCTTTAAGCAGAGACAAAACAGTAAAAACATTTATGCGATTGAATGGCGGAAAGATTATCGCTGCAGTTACAATTGGAGGAAGTACTCTTGCCGTATTAATAAACTTATATACGAATTTTACTCAGTATGATATAATTTCTCCTGATAAATTTATTCCTTTAACTATAAATAAAATAACTCCAGTTAATCATAACACGAGTATTTTTCGTTTGAAATTTCCGAAACCGCTAAAAGAAAATTTGCCAATTACATCTTGTTTTCATATTAAAGATGATTCAATACAAATCGTTCGCGAGTATACACCCATATCTCCAACAGACGAAAGAAATTACATTGAGTTTTTAATCAAAATATATAATGATGGATACTTATCTCGGTATATTCATTCCTTAAAAGAAGGTAATATTGTGGAGGTGAGAGGTCCGATATTGACCTTTCCTTATACACCAAACATGAAAACACATATTGGAATGGTTAGGATTATTTTTCATATGCTGTTTACTATTATTATCTTTTTTTTTCAAATCTCCTGATGAAATACCAAAATAACTATTTATAATTAGATCTGTGGTGGAACCGGGATAACTCCAATGTAAGAATTGCCAATTTTACTCATGATGATTGATTCTTTAAATTAAGCAAATATATTGACAACAGGTGTTGTCATTCAGGTATCAATTAATTAAACATATTCTGTGCAATCCTGATGATAAAACAAAAATATATATGATCTATGCAAATGTTACCAAACAAGATATTCTTCTTCTTCGAGAACTAGATCAATTATCTCAAGGACATCCCGATCAATTAAAAATCTTTTATACTCTGGATCAACCTCCTAACAATGAATTATGGACACAGGGAGTTGGTTATGTATCTCAAAATGCAATTAAAAACCTTATCCCTGGACCTCAAGAAGATGTGCTTATACTCGTTTGTGGACCAGAAGGGTAAACATTTACAAATTATTCTACAGTATCTGCTACTATAGTTTATCTTTATTAATGATGATATAATACTTCAGGATGATTCGATACGTAAGCGGTGACAAGGCGAGAGATTTATCACAAGGTCCTGTTGGTGGCATATTGAAAAACCTTGGGTATAAACAGCATCAAGTTTTTAAATTTTGAAATAAGTGTCATTCTAGGTAAAAAAAAAAAAAGAAAAAAAAATCTTATGTGATGCTCAAATTTAGATTTTTTTATCGCTGTTGATGCTATTCCAATAAAACAAACCAAAATAAAAATAAAATCTTTTTTTTATTATAAATTTCGCATGAGACTGTATAAAGACATAGCCCTAATCTCTTAATTTATTTTTTCTCGGCTTGCTTTTGAAGCTGGATAAGATGCAGCCAGATATAGTTCTGTATCATTGCAATAGTTGATATAGAAACAGTCTCCATTAACATATAAATATCGTGACCTGCGCTTATTCCTGTGGTTTATAAGTTATTGCTCACGTTAATGGTAGCACATAACAATGCCACCACTTTGACACATTCGAGTCTTTGGAATAGATGGAATTAGAAGATATAGCAGCTCCAGTAATAAATTGCGGATCCCTATCATTTTCCCGACATTAATTTCCCGACAATCACTTCCCCGACAAATCATCTCCCGACACAATTTCCCCGACATTAATCTCACCGACAATCATTTCCCCGACACGATCATTTCCCCAACACAATCATTTCCTCGACACGATCATTTCCTCGACAAATCATTTAGCCGACAAATCATTTACCCGACACAATCATTTCTCCGACAAATCATCTCCCGACACAATTATTTCCCCTTATTTCCAGCCATTCTTCACCAGCACGTCCGATATTACAGCCGTTTTCAAAAGTTTGTGGAAGACGCAGATCACCATACTATGGGGATCTCCAGAGTCTTTAAAACTCATTATAATCGGATTTTTAATTTTTACTAAGCAGAATTTTCACATTCTTCGATTCCCACATGGGTATATGGAAATCGTCTTTTTGAAAACAGCTGTAACCTAAGAGGTACTGTCGGATAGGTAATTTACATTAGTGGCGTAACTGTCAGATTACGGACGTGCTGGGTGAAGAATGGTTGGAAATAAAGGGAAATAACTGTGTCGGGGAGATGATTTGTCGGGGATTTGTCGGGGAAATGATTGTGTCGGGGAGATGATTTGTCGGGGAAATGATTGTCGGGGAAATGATAGGGATCCATAAATTGCCACTAGACACTTCCGATTACTTGAGTGGGATCCAGCGAAGTCCAGTAATGTTCTGCAATATTAGAATGTATATATGCCATGTATTTACTTTCAAATGATTTCGTGTAGTGAGGTAATGCCACTTTAAGTTGTGATACCTAGCAGCACCTGGTTTGATGGCTTTTGTTAGCTGAAAGGCATAGTCGATGATGTATATAAATTAGTCTGGCCCCTCAGATAACCACAAAAACCTTTGCACAGTAATTCTCTTTTAAAGTGGCACTTATCCCGGTTGCCTAGTCTTTTAAAGGCGTGTATTTCGCGTTCTGTGTCACAAGTAGTTTAATCTGAACTCAAGGAGTGGAAGAGCTATGCAACACCTATGATGTCATTTTGTGCAGGGTCCATGCTCCATAAATTGAGGAATGATAGAAATCTACGATAAGGTCAAATGTGAAAAGTTTTGGGGGTACCTCTAGTACGTTATGTATCTCGGTTAACTCTTCTCTGTCAATCAGGTAACGATTATGTACTCTGTAGTTTTGGCAATAGGACGTTTTCTGGTGTGGTTACCAAAGTGTAAAGGCACGGAGTGTCTCTGCTAAATCACAGCTTCTGTATCTGACGATTTAACAAAAGATATAGTGTACTTTAACGAGAGGCATACCCGAGTAGCGGTAACCTTTCACTTGATGATGGACCCTGAAAGTTACTTTAATACACAACCGTCCTAGAACTTTCATATTACAAAACCGAAAGGGACTTTGTTTTGACCTTCCGGCTGGAAGCCTGCTGGCACGCTATCCACTTGGATAGTAGTAGTGAAATCGATGTTTATATATATACTAAGACCCACCAATAAAGGAAATGGTAGATTCCTGAAGTAAAGTATGGTTTGCTTGAAATACAGTGTCGACTGTAGTCTATGACTTGGAGTGCTAGTGTAGTCTTCAACTCCCGTAGAGGTGAAGAAAGTGTCTATTTGGTGAAACGCGGGGGGAGTAATCACTAGACAGCTACATGAAGCATGAAAAAAGCCACAGGTAGATTATATGGATAAGAATTTGGAGTAAACTTCGAACTAATTAAGATTGAGTTGGAAAATTAGGCTGACTACACCGAACCCGTCTGGTAAGCACAGACCGAGGTATAGCACATGATGTGGTCATCATGTTAGTTTTCGGTGTTTGTATGATAGGTATTGTTTAGGAGGCGTTTTCTCAGACGTCCAGGTTGGCTAGATGATTAATCAGTATTATATCACACTTAAGGAATCCGTAATTGCCTCTGTTGACTATGAATTGTGTTGCTCTGGAACGGAGGATTTGGTACACTTGAAATAATCCATTTGTCTAGAAATAGGGAAGGTTCTAGGAATGACAAAGTCTAAAGCCTAAAAGCAATGCCGACGGTGGATGCGACCGGTGTGGTATTTCAAGCGTAGTGGGTCATAGCGGGTAGGATATTGATCTTAATATTCACTTTTCCTGTATCGCCTTTAAGATTAGTTTGAAGGAAGTTCACTTTTGGAATCGAAGGAACAGTTCGAACCAAGTGTCTCAGTGTGTACATCGATGCCTCCTACGATTAGCGCGAAGAGGTCAACGAGGGGAGGAACATGGTAAGAAAGGCTAGTTTCTAAAGAACCTGGCTCTGTCTATTGGTGCCAACAACACGGTGGTACGAACCATCGGGTGGGGACAACTTGTTACTTGATTGTAAGTTCTGAAACCCACTGGTCGGTCCTGTTGTTCATTTCAGGTCAGCTATGTTACAAACACGCTGTTTGTGACTGTCTTTTGGAAGGCGAGAAACCTTCGCCAGATTTAGACTAAGATAGGTTTTGGGTAACCCGCTTTCCTTATTGCAAAAATGTACTATTAGTAATTCGCAGGCAAAATAGTGGCTATCTTGTCATGAAACATTATTGGAGTTTGATGCCGCCCAATTGACTTGATAGCTTGTAGTGCTCTCTACCTTTTTTGTTGGTTAATAGTAGCACCGCCATATTAATCTGCTATTAATGTTCACCAAATTAGACCATAAAAAAAAACTTTTTGTTCTACCTGAAACAATAAAACTAATTTATTTCAATTTTTCAGCTAACCTTTTTTTACAGTAAATCTATACTCTTCAAATAATATATTTCTCTCAAAATTGCTATACTTGAGCTTCAAGCACTTTTTCAAATTCATTCTTAAATATTCTTGAATCATTATTCTCTTTTTATATACAAATTAATTTTTTAGAAACAGATTAATTATTGAAAATTAATTATACAAAAATCAAATATTTAACTTTTATTAAATACTTATAAAATATTACCAAACTACTATAAAAGAGTAAATAAATAAAAAAAAAACTCAAATAATAATAATAATAATAAGTAAATAAATAAAAAGTACTATAAAGAAAAAAGCAAAAAAAATTAATAAATGGGGACCCCCACAGCAAAAAGTAGCATTGGGCCAAAAAAATTTTTTTTAAAAAAAATGCAATTTCTCGAAGAATTAAAGTAATTGGCATATAATTTTTAT